GGAGGAAAATAACAGAAAGCCTTCTGAAAACAAGCAATCTCAAGGAAATAAATGCACAGTCACAAAAAATTCAAACTACAAAACCAATACCAAAAAACCATCAAGATCATGACAACAAAGGATCATGCACAAGATACTTAATGGAGAAAAAATAAAATTAAATCAAACGAGTTCAGGTAAAACAATTAGAAAATCTAAAAACATTTAACTTATTTTAATTAACTCTTTGCTTCCGTCATGTTATGCTCAAGATGAAACAGTTTCGGTCATCTCAGAACCACATTTTTTGTCTGCACAAAAAAAGGCATGAAAAATCATTTAGGCAAAAAGCAATTAATTCTGCGCTGCATTTTGTGCAACGTGTGTGAAAAGGGCACCATTTTTCACACATCCTGTCAACTGTTAACACAAATACACTACAAGCGAGGATTTGACCTGGCTTGTTCCATACAGAACCCATTAATTCATGTCAAATTAAAGGCGATGAAGCACAGTGCCCAGAGGACGAGAAACATGAAAATGTTACATGAAAGTGTTCACATACTTGCAGTCTGGACTGTGGATGAAAACTCCAGATGAAACCATGACAGGAGAAATATTGTCCCTGGATGGTTTATATAAAGGCAGGTATGAGGCATGTAGTGTCCAACTGCGTTTAGCCTGGAGACCAAGATTTTCTTTCAATAAAGTTATTCCTGGAAAGCTCAGAGATACTCATAAGTTCTGATGTATGACATGCCAAAAATCTTTATATCATATCATTAAGAGAAGAGTACTGAGTCAACAAAAAGGAAAATGAAGTGGGCAATCCCAGGTGAGCATAAGTGAGTTAAAGTAAAAGGTGAAAGATTTCTTATTTTAATTCACATAGGATATTTACTACTCAATAAGGTATTTCCCCCTCTCATACATTCCCAAACAGAGGCAGAATAACCTTCACACACTATTAGAAATGTGTCTCGTGCATGCCATTAATACAAATTCAAACAAGGCAGGCATGTACCACTAGCTGGCTTTTATTATTTTGATTTATGATGGGGGCAATCGGAAAATACAGTATATAATGCTCTTTCTTTAAAAGCYATATGATTTAGCATTTAATCTAGCAGCTCTTTCTTGTTGACATGAAATGTCTCTGGATTATAGGGGTCGTAAAGCTCTTTAAGATGAGACCAAGAAAGAAACTTTCAATTTGAGGGAAACTCATTAAAAATGCATTTGACAAAGAACAAATTACAAAAGTCMCCCCCCCCCTCCCCCCCCAGAGGCCAAACAAAGTCAAAGGTCAAAACATAAAGTTCAGCCTTACAGTGATGAACAAGCATGACTGCACTTCATCAAAACTGCTTTAAATGAGAATAACTTAAAATGCACCACAGATCCTTTAGGTGACATTGTAGACCACCACTACACATTCTCACTCTCGACTCGTCACATATTGACGCTTTTCCAAAGTTCCCTCTGCGTCTTATTTTGACGCATCAGGTG